TTCGTTTTTATTAATTTACATTTCCTCGAAACGTATCTTAAATCCTCAGTCTTTTCTACCACACCAGTACAATCACTAAATTCACTACTCTTAGATTTCTTCTGACAGTTTCATCTCGTTGTACCAATGGGGTTTAACAACCTGAATTGTTGTAAACAACTTAGGTGTTACGTCACATTTGACTTGCTGATTAACTGACTAACTGACTGAGCAAATGAATATGTTCACAATTACTAAATGTCACAATTATGATCATTAATTCTTAAGTTTCAAATTCATAACATTTGTCCGACTCTTAAACCGTTTTCAATGCCTTCTGATTGTATGCGTGATGTATACAGGTCTTTTAGATATTCTTGGTATGATTTTTACTGTAGGAGCTTGTGAAATCTTATTTTTTATATTGTACTGACTTCACTGTGCTCATATGGCTCAGCATTGGTTACAATAGTGCGGTTGCATTTATTCTTCATCTTCCCTCAGTTTCTGAGTGCTGAAATCTCCCTATAACTTTTCGTATCTTTCTTTCTACACTCGAGCTTTTCGTCTATGTTGATACTATTAGCACTTCTATTGTTCTGAGATTTATCTTGATAATTTTTATCTAACGATGCATATATTTTTCAGATTCTACGTTGCGTATAGCTAACTGACTATCATAATTCGTGGTGTAAGTAACTATCAATATATAAATGTGCTTATAGTGAAACCAACATAGTAAGTATTTTTCTATTTTTGAAATTATATCATTTTAAATGAGTTAAAATTTTTACTCGTCAATTATATCAGAGGGAAATAAAGGGAATTTTTTGTCATTTATATTGTGATAAAAGACAAAATATATTGACATTTTTTGAAAGTAACTTATTATTATTATTAATGGCTTTATTCAATATTATATTTTGGTACAATATTGAATTCTCAGCACAATCGTATTTATACTTAGATTAAGAAATAATACCTTTTCTGGTAGATATCTCACATATCTACACTAAAATCCGGATCAAAACTCAATTCATTGATTCTAAAATATTTATAAAATATTATTATTTTTACGCTTATCATGCCAAAATTCATGTAATTGCGAATAATATTAGTAATTTATTTATTTATTTATGTGGATAAAAGTACACACAAAGTTAGATGGATTATTTCATATAATTGTATGTACATACAATTTTTCAAGTTAGATGAATACTTTGTAAATGTCAATGGAATTAAAGTTGTGGTTGAAGTTGTTTATTAGACAAATAGCTATGTGATTGAGTCGACCAGAAGCTGAACATTAAAAGAACAATCCTTGTCACCAACACCTAATTATTTATTTAGACAAGAATCGACGAATTTAATCACTAAAGTTAATTAATAATAAGGATACTAATAGACTAGTTTCTGTTGAGATATATTAGTTAAGATAAAGTCGGAACTATAGATCTGAATATTATTACCTGACCATTAGAATTCTCGATTCTTTTCTTTAAGAACGTTGCTTTATTTTAGTCTTAAAAAACAAGCTAGTGGTTAAAAATCTCGACGATTAAATTTTAAACTGCAGACTTAAAATATATTTTTAATAATTCAGATTAGGACAGCTGGCTAGTAGTAGTATCATTATCATGTTTTACACAGAAAATGTGCCTTGAAAACAGCGTATAAGAACATGTGTGCTTGATAAATGGTTCGCACTAACCTGGAGAGACGAATCACACAATATAATAGAATTGTAATATGAAAATAAACGATGAGAATGATCAAGGGGAAAACGATTTAAAGAAGCTAAACTGAGGAAATGTTGATCGCCATTGTTTTTAATAATTCGAGTGCAAAAGAAAAGATAAATGATTGTCTAAACAGTTTTCTGATCAACTTCATAAACGTTCTGTCTTAACTAATAAATTGGGATGGAGAACTTTATATGATTATACGAAACAAATAATCGATGTCACATAGATCAGAAATACAGTAAAACTAATCAACTATCAAAAATGGTAATTAGTAAGAGTTGATCACTTTGTACATAGCTACACAGCTGTAAAGTTACATTGTAGTAGAAATTTGAGTAAAACAACGTAGATAAAAACATTAGTAAACACATAATATCCTTCCACTCATACACACACACACAAGTGAAAGCATAAACAGACGTTATCAAATCAAATGGCTGTTTGATAAATAAACAACTACACCGTTTACATTTTCTTCAATATTTGACTACCAAGGAGAGAGATTAGTTTTAGTTTAAGTTAATTGCAGCGTCAACATAATTAAAGAAATAAAAATATGTATTTTTACTTTCCAATTATTCTAGTAGTCCATTAGCTAAATCTCATAACAAGAAAATGATTATCACTACTCTAGTAGAGAACATAATATGAACTGAATTTTTCTAAGACGTCGAGACACGTAATAGATGAAAGGCAAGGGTGAAATTTATTTTCATCTTTCAGTATATATATACTATCGACTGACACACAAAACCTTGAATGAACATTGGACAGTTGTATTCATTCGTTAGCACTATAGACTTGTTCATTTAGACTGATAAAAGAATCTGAATGTTATCTGTAATTTTATATGAAGATGAGTTTTGAAGAATAAACATGAGTACAACGAGAAGGCAGATTGATCTAAGTTAAATACGTAGTTTATAGATATAATTGTAGTTCAGAGAATGGAATGACTGTATTCTGTTTATCAGATAAATTCGAATTTCAAAGTAGCAAATTACGAAACTAAAATTAAAATACGTGTAAGAATCGAGCGAACAAGGGGATTCTCAGACTGCGGAATTGAGTCGTTCATGTTCGAATCCCACGAATGCCAATATGCACCTAATAGTTATATAAGTTGCAACCATCTCTCGGCTTAGTTGAAAGACGTATTCACCAGAAAATTGATCTTAGATGGGATGCCGTTAAAAGCTAGGGGGCACAGGATGATTTTTTGTCCCTGTGTGGGACTATTCAATAATGAGCACCCACGGCTCCATCAGCAGTCGAATCTAAGACCAAGCCTCGCGGAGAACGCTCAAACATTAAAAACATCGGGGCACTAAATTCGTCTAAATAAAATGCTTCAAAACCAAAAACCCAACAACAACGAAAAAAGCAACTACATAAACACAGGTTCAAATAAAATGAAACCTATTCATTTGTATGATTTGTGGTCGGCATGCATAGGCACATCAGTACATTATTACTTAGAATAACAAAACTACTCAGTCCTTTTTTTCTTAAAAGATTGGGAACAACAACACATCATGAAAAGAAAACCAATGGATGAATATTTTCTTATTTAACTTGCACATCGATAACAACATCTAAAGAAAATTATGATAGGTCTTAACTTCTGCGACAGATCTCAAAGCGATGAACTACATAGTAACATTCTTCGCAGGATATATATATTCAAATGGTACAGTACAAAAATATTCTCACCATAATTTTATACACATTCTGACTAGTTTATAACTGATTTTTTAGTTATACAAAATTTTATATCAGAACGGTGTTAGAAATTCTGATGAGAAAAGTAATTTCGAATAATGAATAAGATAGAGAAATAGCTCCCAGTTACTTTTTTAACGTCGTCTCGAATCTTTCTATTCATAAGTGAGTGGTTAAATGGTTGGTCGATAGGAAGCGATAAACCTTCATACTATTCAGCAAGGTAGATCTGAAGTCAGGAGGAAATCGATGCTAACTTAACAATTCAAAACCATGCTTCGCAGTATCACAGTCATAAATTTATATCAAGCTATTCGGATTTCTCCAATCCGATCGAAATGAAGACTAGAAAATTAAGTCGCCTTGTCCGTTGATGTACACTATTTTACAAATAATATCATGTTGTCCAAATGAAATTTAATTTGCAATGTTTCTCATATACTCAGTGCTCAACTACTGAGTTAATTATTCAAAATTAGCCAGATGTTTTCAGAGAATTTAAATTATTTTGGTTGAAAATCATAAAAATAACTTGAATTTTTGACCTTAAAGTGTTGATTAGGTGTATCAATATCATGCTGATTGATGGACTAATGTATCTAGAAGTAAAGTTCTTAGGAAATTTTGTTTGATTTCTACGATTATAGTGTTTGTCATTTTACAATACACTTTTAAAATTAATTGAAAATATATTACTGCATAGTATTCTTTGAGTTTTCGTGATGACTGCATCAGTTTACTGAAGAAATTCAGTAAACTAATTATGAATATAAGACGAAATTAGTCGAAGTAGTATATCCGCTTTTAAATGTTAACACTTTGAAATACAAAATAACAAGCAAACGGAAATAAAAATTATGAAAAAAGAGTATAGAATAGTATAAAGATAAACGAAAGCGGACAGATGCCAAATAATAAGTTCAACAATAAAACTTTTCTGAATAATTAACAGCGGGTGTAAACATTTAAGACGGATAGTTTATGGCATCATAAGGATCCTAATTAACAAGCTTACAGTTGATTATACAGTTGAGCTTAACAGGTAATGGTATGGTATATTGATACACTATTTTTATTTGACCACTCTAAAAGCCATCCAATCCAACACATAGATTTAATATACACGTAAAAACAGTTATGTACAGAATACACATATTCAGTCATGTTAAGACGAGAAAAAATTCCTCAATTTATTTACACTTCTTACCTAAAAACAACCCTGCTGTCATCATTAATGTTAGCCGGTAGACAAACTTCTTATGATGTATAAAAAATGGAAATACTACCACCTGGCTAACAGAATTGTGCTAAGTAGCGAAACAGAGTTCAAACCTATAGTTTAGTGTTTGAAGTTTGAATGGTTCTGAAATTGAATGATAGCCTAGCTGTCAAAGAATTTGAGATTTAATCAGGAATCAAGGATTTTCAGCTTTAAACTGAGTATGTACACTAGTACTTAAATACTGTATTGTAACAAATGATATATATATATATATATATATATATATATATATATATATATATATATAAACATAAAAATAAAGCATAACATACTTGTTTAAGTTTGATATTAGAGAAATTTTGGTTTAAATTTGATAGTCGATCATTGGAGGACGGTACAATGGGTGGTGAAGCTGTAGGATCATTATTCATAAGATGATTACTTTTCGAAGGTACATATCCATACGGTGGTTTGCATAAATTATCATTATTATTCATTGAGTAATTGTTTATACGATTTAAATTAGGCTGATGTGTTTTTTAAGCATACAGAAAGAAGTAAAAATTACATATATGATAATCGCTTTTAAATGATGAAACAATTCTTTTACAAAAAGTGTCAAATTCAAGTTAGTACATTAATGAGAACCATAGTAAAGTCAGTCATTTAGCTGTAAACAATATATAGCTAGGATGTACATGCAACAGTTCAAGTCATCACACTATCGCAGCAAAGACAGATGAAAAAGTTAACATAAATACCAAACTAGTAGAAGTAACAACAAGGGATAGAGAATAAGAGTTGAGAAAAAGTGAATTCGTAGAATAAAACGGGGTAAGATAGTTCAAAAACCCAAGATTCAAAGGGAAGATAAGATGAATATGCCTATAATACTGGTCAGGATAATAGCGAGGACGCTAACCCAGAAGTCCGCATCTAATAATCTGGTTAAACCAAACAGCCAACTTCATGAACTGATGTCATGTTCTGATCTGGAAGCTCCTATCTTCCTACCTACTACCATATCAGCAAATATTCCGCGTCGAGGTAAGTGGTGGTTGGTTACATGTAGTACAAGTTTTTACCACATCGATCGACAGGGATTCACTACACCCATCAATTGTTTTGTCGTTTTTACGACAATCAAGCAGTAGTATATAAAGGAATATCTGTGAAGTACAGATGAAATCTCGGTACGAGCCGAAGATCTTCGGATTATTAATAGATGTCACAACAACCTCAGCTGAAGTTGTATACTTGATGAGTTATGCGAGAGCAATAACAGTTAACGATTTAGTAACAGACACACAAATGGTCGTTATACAACAACACACTGAAAAGAATATCGATGGTTAATAAGGTTACAAAGTTTCTTGGCATACCGTTAAGCAAGTAATTTTTCAAAAAGCAGTCACTATTTGCATATAAATGAAGTGAAAAAATATTTCAGTTTAACTTGTAGACCGAATATCTCAAAACATGCTTCATAATAATAAAAGAAATGAAATTGTAAGTAACCGTAATTACTCCAGAATATATTGCTTTTCTGATGTTTCATGGAAGCTTTCATAATGATGATTGTTTGGACGTTCACGATAAGTGGGTAGGCAATTTGAAGAGTGAACATTCTATGAATGTGTTTCATACGACCTTTCCTAACATACATTAAACTACTTAAACTAACTACTGACGGTAGCATGAGTGCTTTATTATCACATATTTGTCACTCAGGACGGAATTTCGATCAGTCCGTGTTGACAAATATACAATCTGAGTAGATATTTCAGTATTAGCTGTAGTTAAAGTTTTAATTGTGTATTTTATATCAAGGTTAACAGTGGAATTCAAGAGCTATGTTTCGTTCTATTTAGAACTCATCAAACGGATGTGCCAGTATTTCAGTGTTGATGCTCACAACTAGACTCGAACCAAGAACGTTAAATCTATGCTTTTTTGATTAATTGATGGAATTTCAGTTGCCTTATATTTCCTAAGAAACAACTTAATATCTATGCACATAGGATTCGATGTTCACTAATATATATACTACATTATACAATTATTCAAACCATATTGTTAGGAAACGGGATGAATAAACCTTTATGGATTTATGATCATTAATAGACAAATGTCAAAAAAAAAAACACTGATTCATTATACTACATAAAACAACACATTTAATTATATTGAAATACATGAAGTAAGCAGTGGGAGAGGTGAACTAATGATAGAAGAAAATTATAACTTCTTGTTTCAGTCAAAATAACAAAGTTAACCGAATCACATTTGAAAAAAATGTTAAGGTAATCCGTATAACAGAAAATAAATAAAGCATTATGGTACACGAAACCAATAATTAAATCGAACTAGATTAGTAAGAAATATAGAAAATAAAAAAAAAGAAGGAAAGGTCAAAACTATTGTCTTACAGCAACAACAAACCTGTACTACATAGTATTATATAAATTTATGGAATGAAGTAAGAGAAGTGGAAACCAGAAAAATATTAAGTTGTAAAATATTGTTAAAGTTGAAATGCGTATAAAGGTTTATGGAGATTGTCGAACTTTATAGTTTATAACATAATCTAACCTTAATCAGACAATTACCAAGTGAAGCGGCAGCTTAGTGATTAAGGCATTTGACTTTCGACCACTACGTTTCAGGATCGAACCCCGCTCCAACTACTTTGATTTGGGCAACCGAGATATATCGTTAACAATCAAACTTAGAGTGTGGACTACTTATTTACAGATAACTATAAAAAGATACAAGATACAAAGTTTTTGGGGTGGATCCTCTAGTGGGGTTTATGGATGCGCTCTGTTGAGGCGTTCTATACTGGAACTAAACGGCTTTCCAGCACTGCCTGGTTTTCAATGGATAATGGAACATTACACAATAGATCAAATTACAGACTCACCAAAATATATGTTACATGTTCCTTAAATCACAATGTAATTACCATAGTGGTTTATAGCTAAAGCAGATGTTGCCAAATTACACTACGTTGTACTGAATAGTAGGAAGCTGTAAATTTGTCTTCTTTCTTACTAGTTAGCACTTACCAGCAAGGCATATTTACGAAGATTCGGGCAAATGACGCTCCGTCGGACTTTCAAACACGCATCAGTTATTAACATAGCTACGCCTGAAATATTCAGATTAAAACTGGTCTCCCATAAGACTAATATGAATGTATTAATCAGATAGTAGGAAGTACGTGAGGTTAAATGTTAAAGTTAGTAGTTCTGATCGCGTTTAACCAAATGCTTCGGAAAATTTAATACCAAGTAAAATGTAGCGAAACATCAAATAACTTGGGTGAGTGGCCATATTACAAGCATTATCGATAAGATGTGGTCAGCAGTAAGGCCCAGAGATACTAGATATACTAGAAAGTATTGTTCATTAAGGTTGATATGAAGGTATTAATTAAATAGTGGGAAAGCCAACCATACCACCGCTTAAAATTCATTACCATCAAGTTCCTTAGAGCATTTAAATCGTTCAACATTCTTCATAAAATATATTGATTTTATGAAGATTAGATATTGTCGTTTACTAATTCATACAAAAATATGAAACGTTCAATAAATAATATTATCACAGTAATATTAAATAACTTGATGCGTAAAATGTCAGGTCAGTCAAACTAGAAAACGCAATTTACATTCAGAATACCAAGAAATAAATTATTATTCCCAATACTAATACTGATACTACTAATAATAACAATATTTTCGGATAAAAAATGCATGTACCATGTACTTTTACATGTTCATGGACAATTCATTTTTTACGCGCTATTCATATCAAGTGCTAAGTAGGATTTTTTTCGAAAAATACATAAAATAAAGATTCTAGCCAAAACTGAGATACTTCTTAGTAGTTTTATGAAAGATGGACAGAATAACCATTCTTGTACAAATGGCATTTGAATGTTATGATAAATGGTAATGTAAGGACATAGAGTCAATAGGGGTTGTCCGTTACATATCATAGATTGATATCTTCTAGAGGACTGTTGAATTCTAGATGACATTAGATAGCTGTTTTGTATTCATTTCTTGGCACATCAATGACTTCAAAGGTTGGTATCATGTTTTGGTTTGGCTGTCCGTAGCTTTATTACAATATTACTCCTATACTAGACGAAGTTGCCAGTCACGATAAGTGGTTGTTGAGCATACGTAACACATGTCCTAATCATATCAGTTGATGAAGAGTTACTGCCTCGTCAATCGATTTATCATCTTTACCTGGTACCCTATGTCTAATCTTTGTATTGGTTACTCAGTAGAATTTAGGGTTATATATATAATAGGTATTTCTTTGATTACCTGATTTGCGTTTTCGTATTGTGAGTGTGCATATAATTTAGGCAAATTTCCGATTGGCGGTGCATCTAATTCATAATTGTACATTTCTCTTAATGAACCACTACTATTCAATGATGGTTCATTAAAAGTTGCAGATAAGTATTTTGGTAAATTTCCGTTACGTGTGTTATTGTTAGTTCTTTCATTAGAATGCCAAAATTGATGAGCAACAGGGGATGGACCGGCATCTGCACCAGCAGTTGTTAATCGTGGTATACAGTTATTACTCCAGTTTGATGGATATTCATAATGTATTAAATATTGACACATATGTGTATACGTATCACCTTCAGATGGTTCATTTGCATATACTTCAAGTCCATATTCACCTAAATTATATATAAAAATTATTACAATGTAGTGGATGTAGTAAGTAATCATAAAAGTACAAACGAAGAGAAATAATCAAAGTGTAATTTAATTAAACTCCTAGTAAACCGATATATCAGTATGCTATAACAAAAAGCTGTGTATTTCGTATCACAGAATCGATTAGATGGTAGAGCCTTTGAAATTAATAAATTGTTTAAGATGACTAAATGCAAAAGAAAAACGTCTTTATCACATGATATTTCTTTGTAGTAATTTAGTTTCCACTGGCACATGCGGAAATTGCACACACAAAGAGCACTTTATTTTCGTAGTGACAAAAAATTTCTTATTGGTTTGTTACATTTTTAATAATTTGGTAATCCTGCTCCACTCTTCAAGGTTAATCTGTGATGAAAACTAAGAAATTAAACATTCTCTACAACTCCGTCTCTAGTGAATACTTTCAAGATATAATACCAGGAATTCGAATGAGTAACCATGACCAATAGAGTTCAACCATGTCGGGAGTGAGGGAGTTACTCGGCGATGGAGTTGGATGTAGTTTTACAACATTGTAAATCGACTGAAGTTAGTAATGAAAATCAATGGACGTCGGCTTAACGGTCTGAGTATGAAGCTCTCGCTGAAAGAAATGAAGTTTCTGGGTTCGATCCCGATGGGGTTATGGATGCGCACAGATGAACAGTTTCATAATAAGGGGAAAGAGAAGTTAATTGATTCCTGGTTTTCAGTGGTGGTCATTTAGCAACTTAAACTAAAGAAGCATATTCAATATCTGCCTACTTAGAGCAATTTTCTTTAGTCGCTCTAAAAAATCTAAAGCTTTACCCCCTGAATCAGTCAATGCTATACAGTATCGTGTGTCTGATATAAAGTGCATAGTATATCGTTTGAGTATTCAACCTAACGATATTATAAACTCGGTCACTCAGACCAGTCTTAGTATCGTATTATTGTACTGGCGTAGTATACAGCAAAGTGGAAAAAACTTTAAATCATTCATTATATCACAGGCAGCCATCAATATCATACCACAAGAAATCGAAATTTAATATCTGATTTAAGGAGTTGTGTATATCTACTGAAAGTATCTTATTTGTCAAGTACAAATCCATGAATTTGGGGCTTCATGTCACACTATTTATGTGATACTAAACAACTGTTTAAACTAAACTAAGAGAAGCAGAGTTTGAACTACAAACGGATAGTTGAAAATTGAGTGTTCCTGAAAGGTTCTAAGCTTAGATACAAAACAATAATATAATGCAAAGCTATCGTGTATCAGCTGAAATTAAATAACAAAATACTGTTAAAAAAATCCATCTTTTTTTTTCTATATCAAATTGAGGTCACACTAAGCATTATCGAAACTTGTTGATTACAATTTAATAATAACAATATCAGTGAACTTATTCCAGTGATTGATTGGTTGATTTTGTGTTGTTGAAGGTCACAATCTAAATAACCTAAGGTCATAATAGAATGAATTGTGTACACATTTTCAATTCATACACAACCTTTTTTTTAGAAAAAAAATTTCAAATATATGTAATATTAAATTAATGAGAAAATTCACAACTAGACGAACTGAAATTAGTCACTCCCTCATATGACTAAGCGACGAACACTTAGTTACTGAAAAAATACAACATATGAGACAAGTGAACTACACACATTTTATACACAAACTATGCAATCCACAGTGAGAGATAAAAATGAAAAATAAATAAGATCGATGTAGTAGATGATAAAACAGCAGATGGATTGTCTTTACCGTTATTATTATTGATCGAATTACGTAAAGTTCGACATAGCTTGGAGTGCAAACAACAGTCACCTTGTACACATAATAGTAGAATGGAAGCAATAAAAACGAAAGAATTTGAAAACCAAAGAAAGAAATGTGAGTTGTTTTTTTTAGGGAAAGAAAAGAAGCGGACAAACGGTTATTAATATGTAACAATGAAATTGATTGGTACAAACTACTACTATTATTATTATTACGGTAAAAGCCAGTAAGTGGTGAATCCCAATATCTGAAGTATAGTTGAAAGAAAATTAACTATTCTACCAATAGGGGTTAACCCCACCCGGAATTTTTTACAACAGTTAATTAACTGATTACAGTAGACTGGCTAGTCGATGAGTCATGGATAGAATGATAGAAGTGAAATTAGAAGATATACATAGATCGTGTCAGAAGCAGAAAAGAAAAAAAAACAAGTGCTAGTAAGAGAAAGTATACACATTAGGGAAGATACACGCATAAGAATTTAATTCTTTGTTGTTGTCATATAGATCATAGAAAGTGTAAAGAGAATGAAAGCTTCAATAGTTTAATATGTATATATGAGTAAGTGAATGGAGAACTTGGTAGGAAGAGAAAAATTAAATATTTCTACTTGGAATATCTTAGTTTATTTGAAAGTGAAATAAAACCAGCTGTGATTTGATGAAGAATGTGCTAAGAAACCCAGGATGTATATTTCATCTTGAAATTAGGAAGCGTGAATCGAATGTACCTACATTCAATTGAGTGATATTGTTATTGTTCATATTGAAAATTAAACTGAACCTTCAACATTTTTAAAGATAAAAGTACAATCCAGTAGACATCAGTAGAATTATGATGAAAACATTTTATTTAACGAAAGTATGATTTCAGACTTTTCATTGTTAGTAGTTTCAGGATTGGATTGAACAAGAAATCAACAAGTTTACTATCTATTTAAATGTAACTGAATTTTAACAGGCACAGATTCACTTAATTGAATTCGAGCCATACTCTAAGTCATATACTACCGATTAGGCTGCGTAGACAGAAGTAGATGGAGTGTGATTCAAACCTGTGATTAAGTGGCTAAAAGTAGAACACCTTAATTATTGATTCATTGCTTCGAAAGTTTTGGATATTGATCAAATCATAAGCAGAAATAGATGGTGGCTAGAAGTGGCATCCAAGACGCGCATTTTGTCCTATCCAGGACTCATCAGTTTGGTGTATCCGCATACCAAAGTCAATATTCACTCCGGGACCCAGTACCGTTCGCTTCAAACGCCATCACATTATTCACTTAGCTCCTGAGTCCATATAACCGCTAGCTTGTACAATAGGGTAAAGTTTAATTAGTTTTTTATATTGGTTGGGATGCATGTACATCCAGCTGACGAGTCCCAAACAGGACGAAACGCGCCTCCTGGATTTCACTGCTAGCCACCATCCATCTCTGCTTATAATGTTTATGACTTAAGGCGAAACCGAGGAAATTCGTACAGGATGTAAATATGCCAATAAGAGACCGATCACTTGCAGTCTTAAACGTCAGTGGGAAGATCTAAACAACCAATAAAAAATGAGTTTATGAAATTAGTTTTAGAAGTATTGAGGCCAACTTTACACTGATATATCATGTCCTCTGAGATAAGCCCTTAATCAGTCAGTCAGTCGGTCGTCATCAATACGCAGCCTTAAGTAGATTATGTATTGGCCTAAGTTGTCATACCACATTAGCACGGTGAACTAAATTAACAAGGTATATAGCGAAATGTGATAAAAATGACAATGAGAAAGACCAATTATTGAGAAGAGGCTTTAAAAAGACATAGTGGAAAGTCATGTTTGGAAGAATAGTGGAAATCAAGATCGCGAGGAGGATAGGAAGTGAATGTATCTGCGCTACTGTCGATGTTTCTGAGGCGTGTCATCCAATGTCTCCAACCACTAATTTAAGTAATCACAAAGACGCTAATCTGATAGCTTGCAACCACCAACACGGCTCAATCGAACAGTCAATAACTTTATGGACTGATGCCATGTCTCAGTTTGGCCTAGCTAAAGCTTTTTTTCCAACCTATTCTTTTACCAATAAACATTGTCTCCGTCGAAGAAGGTAGTGATTAGGTTCACATATCAAATTTTTGACAAAATCTTTATGAATAGTATTTTTCAATATAATAATATCGTTTTTCGAAGGAAAACAGTAAGAAAAAATATAGTTGGATTTGTATATACCGTAAACACTTATATATATATATATATATATATATATATATATATATATATATATATATATATATATATATAAGCATCCCTTCACTCCGATTCAGTGTCCAAAAAATCAGTACACACCTAAAAGTACTCTCTTTTTTTTCTACAATTGTCCTGCCATATGCAAATGACGATTGAGTGTTGCTGTCCCGCTTGTTTCTTTCGATATATAACAAACGAATAATCACAAATTCTAATCACGATAACACAATATTCACAATTGGAATAAACATTAAACTATGAATAGAAAAAGGCACAAACAACTATCCATGTGCAGTTATAGAATAATTAACTCAATGAAGTCATTGATCTAAGCGTTCACATCTACAAGTCACATGGTCAACTAATGTATCTAATTAGAAATAGATTAGATGTAGAGTTACTTAAGTGTACATACTAAGTTTTCACATTAAATACAGAGAACGTGTACTCATCATTATTGATGTGACCACTTTAGGCCTCAGTGACTGGTTGGAGGAAATTGAAGGGCGAAGTATGAAAAGACTTAAGGTATTTATTCGGAAATGACAGATTGCCATATAAGTAGATGTTTTGTTTTATTTGGAGATTATATTTTAATAATATGTTTTACTAGACTTGAAATGAGCATAATTAACATGACGATAATAAAGAGAAACAGTGAAAATGTAAAATCTACTTCTATTTACGAATCTGTAGAACTTAGGACCTTCGGGGTTGTAAATGCATACTGTTGTAGTGGATGGCCCTAAGTCGAACACGCATAGGTTATTCTAGCTTCCAGATAGGCTGACTTATTCATTCTTCTTGATTAATTATTCGCTTATCAACATTGACTGTTTTATGTAAGCGTATGTGCGTGCATTTCTTATCTTACTCATCACATTTATGTAACTTATTTTTGTATAACTATGAATATCGATTAACGCTTGATCAAATTGAGTTGGCTCATACGCCTTCTCCGGTTCGTCTCGCTTTGTTCTCTACGTTCTCTCATTCACTTTCCTTGTGCTTGCTTTCTGTGTTGCTTGAGGATTTTACCAATTATTAACAACACACTATCCCTACAACTGGTGTTCTGGTTTTTGAATAATCTCGAGTAGATTCATAATACCATTAGGATATTTGGCCTGCGTAAAATACTTAGTCAAGGAGGACAATATTTATTGGAGTCAGATATAGAGGGATTAACCTCTACAAACTTAACAAATTAAGAAATTAAACATTTAAACAGATCAACGAAAAGTTACTCTAATTGTAAATATAAAGCTTATCAATTAACGATCAGTGGGAAATAGGTCACAGAAAAATTACTAATTGGTTGTTGTAGGAAATTTACTTAGGCACCTGATACAGAATAAACAATAGAATGATTCTTGTCACCATAAACCCACCTGTATTAAAATAATAATTTAGAATTAAGCATGAACACGTGTATCCAGAATGTTCACTCCAGTGATTATACTTACCAACGTCCATACATGATGCATGTGACAAGAAACACAAAATCAACCGGTGACGAATAAACGAAAGTTCATGTAGTGATAAGACCACAAACACACAGACACTGTATCTATAAAACATAATCCTTCCCCAAAAACAATTTTGTATTGAGCTATTTCAAATAATATTATGATTATATTTTTCGCAAAAATCACATTTTCAGGTAAGTTCATTATTTTTACTTTTGATCATTTCCCAAGTCGATTAAAGAGACATAACTTGGACGATATTTATCCAGTAGGTTAACATTCGACATATGACATGGAATTATGAACACAGTAAAGTCAGTACAATATAAAAAATAAGATTTCACAAGCTCCTACAGTAAAAATCATACCAAGAATATCTAAAAGACCTGTATACATCACGCATACAATCAGAAGGCATTGAAAACGGTTTAAGAGTCGGACAAATGTTATGAATTTGAAACTTAAGAATTAATGATCATAATTGTGACATTTAGTAATTGTGAACATATTCATTTGCTCAGTCAGTTAGTCAGTTAATCAGCAAGTCAAATGTAACGTAACACCTAAGTTGTTTACAACAATTCAGGTTGTTAAACCCCATTGGTACAACGAGATGAAACTGTCAGGGGAAATCTAAGAGTAGTGAATTTAGTGATTGTACTGGTGTGGTAGAAAAGGCTGAGGATTTAAGATACGTTTCGAGGAAATGTAAATTAATAAAAACGAAGCTTTACAATCCGTTTAAAACTTAAGATTGAAGGAAGGTGAATAATAAATGCAACTACTCCATTGTAACCAATTCCGAGTTATATCAACTAAAATCTTTAAACACGGATTACGATAGTTCTCCAGACTTCGACAAAGTAAATTATACACCTACCTATATGACTCAGTCGAACAGTCAATGACTATGGATTAATGCCATGTCTTGATTTGACCACCCCTGAGGAACTACTCAGAACAAATGAGCACACCGAGAAAATGTTTACTTATCACAATCGTTTGCTCACTAATGGCTAGTTCCAAAATGGATTTCTGTAAGTTTGTAAGTTAAAATGCCATAATCCATAGTGTCAACTAAGTCGATAGTAAAGTAGTAACTCATTGGTGATAATTAGATCAGGATCATACCATATCACAAATTTATAAAAGTTGATGGTGTGGTTTATATTGAATTTTGACTTATTGCTATGAGAAGGTACTATGCTGTTGGTGAAGCATGAAATGTTGGAATTTCGGTTCCTGTTTGGGATCATGATTTCTTCTAAGGAAGAGTCCCAAACCAAACTGAAACAGTTGTTTAGTTCGTACGGAGTTTTATCTTCTACATTGTAACTGACAACATTCGTATATGAACAATATCATATTACCAAGTGGTCTAAACCGCAAATGTCTACTGACTTGTATTAAGTTAACTAATTAAACACTAACCAAGATAGGTAGCAATATGGTTTCAGTCTTAAATTTGTATGAAAACATCAACATCATGTAAGCTGCGAAATAAAGTAAACTTGGTCACAAGAGCTAAGCAGTTCAAGTGGAAATTAGCTAGAAGCCGAATGGAATATACATGATTTTTAACAACCGAGATAGTGTCAAAATAAGATTGTCGATAAATGTGGATTCCAGTGAATTCTCTTCTACTCACTTAAAACAAGATGGACTGATATTATGGTCAAGAATAAAATAAAATTTACCAAAAATTTTGTTCATACTTTTCGATTGTATCCGACAATTTTTAACATGTAATGAGTCGACCATATTGAAATTTGGAACATACTGAACCTTCATTTTCAATATAAGCGAGCAATCGAGTTTTAGTTTAGCGAGGTTTATGAATAATTCAAATCATAAACAAATTATATAAGTAGCTAATAAAACTTACCAGGTTCAGGTAGAGTGACATGAAATAAAGTTTCACGCACTGTCTCAGTGACACGTTGATACTGATCAAGAAAGTCGTCCGACACTCCATTTCGATGAAGTTTTGCTAGTAAATTAACCTCAGGTCGGTGTTTTTGAAACCGTATATCGACCGTTTTTGGTAGTGGTGTATGATGTCCGTTGGAGTTAACTGAGGAGTCTAATTCGTTAGGTATACTGATCACACCCTCTGTATGGCTTGGTTCAAGAGCATAGTGATGTACATGAGACCAAGCTGGTCCCCAATTAGCGTCATGACAAATTGGGTACGGTTGGGCATCTCGTGCTGGTGAGTTACATATAATTTTATATTCGCAAGCGGCTCGAAAAGTACTTTCGCGACCAACAGCCAGACTTGATAGTTCCTTTGAAGTTATGGGAAAAATAAACTTCACAAATGTTGATTGTTTTAGAACAAAAGCATTCACAAAAAGCATGTATAATATCCAGATATGAAGTGAACATATCAATGAATTGGTTAATTATAGCAGAAAATACACCTAATTTTTTAGTAAAAAATATCTAATGAACTAATGTATGAAGTCTCATATGTAGCGGTAATTGGGATAATATAGCAAAGAACCGAACGACTAATGTGGAAAAGATGAACATAACAATGAGCAAGAAACCACCAGAAGATAAATCGCTGAACAAATAGGGACATTATGGAGGAGAATTGTATATGTGTGCTTTTAAATTACTAAGTGGATTGATTTAATACTGACCGATATATGATATACGATGATACAAAGTGGCCAAATGATGGCTACTGACGAGACCGATTTACAAATGTAAGCTTTGAAATCAACTGATATCAAGACAAAATCACTACCCAGCAAAGTGCATTTCTTAACCTAATAAGAAAACATTCTTATAAATGAAATATATTAAGATGAGCGATTACGCAGTATAGATTTTGAAGGTTACTTACTCTTCAGTAAATTAAGATTTTGACCATCAAATCAAATGACTAAGAAAACAAGCTGACACAACGCATTGAAAAAATAACGAGTTATATCATATTAGAGTCACAGTTAAATGATTTAGACGCTTTGCTTACAGTCGCTAAATTTCATATTTCAATTTTATTCTCTCAGCTTCATAATTTAAATAGTCGAACATACGTCCAGACCTTAAACAGAAAATGTGATCTAAGGTTCACTATATGCATCTATAATTTGTCGTTGTTTATTATGCTTAACTTTGGTTAATAATGAAGTTTATTCGCCACCCAGCAATGACACTACTAATAAAGTATTTCACTATAAAAATGAACTAAAAGTCTAAACATTTGTGTTATCTGATTTTGGTGAGTTGTGTATATCATGAATGAGTAGTTATTAGCATTAAGTTTTATCTAACTCTAATTCCAGAAACTTTATCCTACTTTTAATCGAGATTTGCCTACTACAACCATTTAACCTTTATAGGCATTGGACGAAACGACTTGTACTATACTTCACTTATTTCAGAATAGATGGTGAAAAAAAGCACATACAATTAACTGTTAAAGTGTAATAATGAGTTTCTATTCGTTAGCACAAAATTTATTTTCATTCAGATTGCCAATTATAGTGGTTAGTATAACCTTAAATTTTGAAACACAACTAACCAAAGTTACATACATTTAAATGTACTCACAAATGGCATTTATATTTTAGACTCGTTTTCAGATTACAATATTATAAAATACCATCAGATGATAATAAACACGGTTAGTAATAATTTTCGAGAAAAAAATGACATTGAACTAATTTACTAGTAGAATCCCAGTAAATTATCCTAGTGCCATATATATATATATATATATATATATATATATATATATATGCCCTGGTATGGCTGAGAGTGGGGAAAGTCGGTTCTTCCTCTCGAAACGCTATCATATGGCCACATGTATAAAGCCACTGCTAGGAAAGTCCTGAACGTCGAAATAGACATGAGTATTGAAAAAGATTTAATATTCTAGGTACTCGTAGTGAACGAGAGAACACTTTGTAATCAACTGGATGGTATAAAAACATAGGTAATCTTGATTTAAAATGTTAATTAATACGGATAACTTTTAATGAGAAAACATCGGCAGAGAATCTGCTCTGTTTAAACTGTCAAATCAAGCATAACAGCTAAGGAAGCTAGTGGGAAAAGAATTCGATTCTAAGTAAAGACATGACGTAACACTGGTTTCAGAAATGATCCATTATTTTTAAACTACAATTATACAAAAAGATGATACTAAAGTACTTATTAATCCCTCATCCAAAGGGATAAAGAACTTTTTCGTAGTGGTTCACAAAATAGAAATTTGACTATTCAGGAGGTAAAAAGGTGTCTTGAAGTTACATTTTCAGTTTATCTGTAATATATATTCATACAGACAGTTCATAGATGACTATTTAGAACTTACCTGAGCATATATGGTGAGGTAGTAAATTCCAGAAGCTGGGAGTCGAAAGAAAAAGTTTAAACGATCTTTCGTTGTTTCTTGTAAAACGAAACACTTCAAATCAACATTCAAATTAGGAACTTGGTCTGTCAGTTCGCTTGGATATGCAGTAAGTGAGTCAAGGTCAGGATTGTTGTAGCTGGTAACCAAATACTGTAATTTATAAGTGAAACCTCCAGGACGCCAAAACCCCAGTGTCATTCTCAGACAACCATCCTGGGTTCGAACAACACCGTGATGTTGTTGTAAGAAATCAATTGCACATTTGAAAAACTGAGACTTTGTAAGTGGTAAATTTTCAAATTGAGAAAGTGTGAGGGGAACAGGTAACAACTGCCATCTCTGATCCTCTGGAAAATGGCTGTAAACAGCCTGGAGAAAGATTAGATGGGGTTTAGGATACGAAACAGCTATAAATAGTACCAGCAAAACAATATAACAAAAATGTAACAAAAATGATAACCTTTCAAAATAAAGCTCACCAATGGCAAGACAATGAATCACACCACATTATTTAAATTTAACCTTGATATCTGCAAACTAAGCTGACTCAGTCACAGAAGTATAGGCTTAATGCAGGCAGAAGTAATGCCTTTTTTACATAGCAGTGGTATCAAATGAGATTTATGTGGCGCATATGTATTTGGTGCCTCATTGTACCAATATCTATGTGTTAAAATAAATAAAAAAATAATAGCAATGGTATATTCCAAAGCCTTACGTATATTAAGATATTCCTCATTGTGTATTACATACAATTGTGAGGGTAATTTGGGACAAAATGAACTGAACTGAACTAAACCACAATCCAAATATAATGGTACACAGTAATGGAGCGGAAGTTTTATTCTAATAGCGTTCATGCAAAGGTAGGTTTTAAAGATGTTTATCGAGCTCTATTGAACCTATTTTGCTAACAGCGAAAACCAAAAATTAGCACGAACGAATCGAATTTTTGAGACTAAATTGACTGTATCGCCTTTTTTTTGCTTTGGCCATCTGCTTAAGCCAAAATAACAATTATATTTTTCATTTTTATCATTATACTTACATAATTAGTTTTAATAACTGATCGATTAGCTCGAGTTTATACTAATCTTATTATTAATTACGGTTTTTAGACAACACTAAATCCGGATACACACTGTTGTTACTAAATGTCAGCTGATTTCGCAAAAGAAAATCTTTTGGAAGACAAGTTTATTAAAGACGTAAAATTGATATATGCTAAGTAAATTCCCTTTTATAATAAACCATTTATTTTCCGTAGCTGTTTTATAATTGACTGAAACGGTTTTAGGTGTTGAGGTCATTTGAGGGTATAGCTTAAATTTGTCGAAAAAATGTGATCGCTAGTTGAAATATTGTACTTAACCCACAAATAAACAGGGAGATTTCCGAGTGAATAGAGTACAATATCTAAGCTGGTTAATCTCAATATTTTATGAGCTTCAGATTTGATTTCTACGACTGCATCTTCCCCAGTATTTGATTCAGTATATTATTAAATGACATTATGTTATACAATCTATTATATGGTTTGATTCTGTCATTTTGGGTATTCGGAACGATAAATGAGAAATTAAGTAAAGGTATATGACAGTCCGTAACGCATGTTGGATATCAGTGATATAGATGAAAACATCTAAATGTTTTAACTGATAGGTTAGCCCAAAATGAAGGACATGAAACCTGTCATTCACATTATCGACCAGAGTTGGCAGCTGCTTAACATTAAAAAAATACTGCGTAAAAAGTAATGACTTGAAGATATGAATGCTGAGCTTAGATGTGCTACAAAACTAACTAGCTAGAACAGTGTATTTGTTTGAAAGAAACAAAATTCGAAAAAATGAAATCAAATCGGGTGTCATTGGGTGCTACAGATTAGAACGATAAAAGAAGTGACCAGTATCCAAAAAAACAAAGAAAAATTTAATAGAAACCTATCAAACAAACCTGCTGAGGTTCCATCATAAAGTAAAAATCGTCATACTCATAGACAACATTCTCAGGTACATTTTTTCCCGAACTTAGGTAGCGAGCCGCCCAATGAACATCAACAAGCTGCCAAGATCCTCGAATATGAATGACATTCCATGAATGATTGGGAGGAAGACCACAAAATTTGTCACCAGGAAGGTAATCAACACCTTTGGCATATCCACTGACGGTGACACAGTGAATTTCAGAATAACTGACAAAATATGGAAAATTGAAAGACCTACTTGCACATTACTTCGTACATCCTGGAAAACGTGCCGCGGTTGGTGCTGAAGGACATGAGGACGTCTTCCGGAGAATCGGGAGGAACATTTTCGAAGTGGATATTCTGCATATCCTTCGCAGTCATCCATCGGAATATTACACGGGCCCTTTCTAATTCATCTAATTTGTACCGATATAGCAAATCCCACATCAGGTCCCTGAATGTGGGATGTTGGTACTCTGCAACCTAGAAAATAAAAAGGAAAAGATATCAGACTAGTATATGAAACTTAAGATACGATTTGGGCTGCGTAGTAAGAAGGAAATATACCTGGATTGCATGACTGTCTACTTTCGCAAACACCTCAGGTTTGTCGTAAACCTGATGCTTTAAGTATTTTGGCAACTCTGGTGGAGGATGAGTTCGAAATCAATTGGGTTAGGCAGCCGGAAACCTTCGGGGGCCTTCATATCATTAACTCATCCGCGAGTAGCATGAACGTCGAATCAGGCGCCTTTTCAGTGCAACCTACAAGTTGAGACAACAGAACAAAAAATTGGCACTTTGTCCTACGTTTGCTAATATGAATAGATAATATTTTTATTACTGAACATGTTATGGCTCTATTTTCACTTATGTGTTGTCCTCCATGGGTTTAATTTATGTGAAAACCAAGAATCCTCCGCTACCACTGAAACTTAGATACCAAGGTGCAGACTGTAATGAAAAGTAGGTCCCCAAAAGAAATATTTCGGTGAGACTATAGTTTACGGACGACCTTTCAGCGACGCCAAAGTGACCTTGAGAATGTTCATCCACCTACTAGGGCTAAACGATAATTATAAACCAGTGTAAGAAATTATAATTATGATTTAGAGTTGATAGTTAGGGTTTTCACCACGTACTGACATCAGCTGGAATGCCGAAACGGCATTAGGCTAAATGGATGAGTGGGTTTAGCGTCATATCCAAAATTTTCATCTTATATCTGATTAGTTCATTCATAACTTCTCACCAGTTTTTCTGTGATTCCGAGCATTGATTCCGACCTTTTTGGTTTTGCTTGGCATATTGTAGCTGAAAGAGACTGGTCAAGAATCCGAATAAGATCACCATTGATTACGTCGTTTTAAGCACCCCTTGCAACAACTAGTCAGAATAGTTTATATACTTCTCAACACATAGACCACCTACGAAATATACCTGCAAACTTCTTCATTTTCGACTTCCGGCTTTACCGGGTTTGGAATCCCCGAGTAGAAAAATGTTGCAGAAACAGCGTTATCAAACTGCGAAGCATGGCTTTGACGTAAGCTAAGAGATCACACCATTACTGTCCAACTCAATTAGACCTCGATAAACCGCATAGGTCGCCTACATTAGTGATCTACAACTTTCTCCTAAGTGACTGAAGTAAAACCTTGCACAGATCGTGGTCTTGATTAAACTACATATCGGATGCTGAAAAAGCCCACGCTACACTTTGTTCCTCCATTTACAATGATGCGTGATTACTTTTGACCTATTACTGCCTCTTTGTAAATTGTGCTTGCTGTCATTTAAGATTCCTTCTAAAAAACAGAACATAACTATTCAGGGAAAGTCTCGCGATACTCAACAGAGTAGTTACGACACTGAGGCATAAAGCGTACTCAAGTCAGCCCCGGGAGTTCAGATCATTGTTGCCTAGTCATAGAAAACCGAGGATTAAACTACTATGCATTAAGTGGTTTAAACTATCATATCATAATATATATAAATGTTCAGTAATTTTATAGATGTATTGAAGTAACAACGGGAAGGTATAACCTAGAACCTTGACAAACGTATTGGTTTGGTACCAGTTTAGTATAAAAGCTCCATAGTTGCATGCTATTGTGATGCTGAAAAGAGCAAAAAGGACTGGCAAAATGATAAGTGGATGGACATCCTCAGCAAGGCTCGAACGTTTGCAGTTTAACAAACAAATTTATGTTTAATTAGCATGTAAGCTTTATGTTAGGTACTATCAATAGACTTAATTGCAGCTAAAAGATCCGCAAAGGAATTGCAGAAACAAAGAACAATCCGTTGTGTAGTGTATTAAGATGGAATAGGTTTGAATAATGAAATGAAAGCTGAAATAGGAAACAGGAAGTCTGTCCATTCAATTTCAAAATCACAAAAGAGAGTTTAAAGTGTTCTGAAACGCTAGTACCTTCAATGCCTTTATTATTTGTTACTTTTTCCATCATAATTTTTATGCACTTTCAGCACGCAATAGGTCACTTTAGCGATGCAGCGAATCCAACATAAAATTGTTGGCATGACTCTTTAGCACCTTAAGGTAACCCTCGTGCTATTGATAGAAGAAACCAGACAAGTAGTGAATAGGTCTTTATTTCGATCTTAGCGCAGTCACAGTCGAGCGTGGGATTATCTGTTCAGACAAACAAAGGCTCTCAACATTCAATATAAGATAATAGGGAATATAACGCTTATACAAAATAAGGAAGTGAATGAATACTTGAACAATACTGATTTGGCCTATGCTTGGTTGTTTGGGGTCAACTCTTAACCAACCAACCTATGCTGTTACAACTCTTCCGAGGCGGTGGATATACCTCGTTTCATTGATAAAAGAATGCAGACTCGTAGTTAATAAGTCCATACTTAGACCGTGAGGCAACACACAGTGGAGCACGGGGTTATATTTTTAGATACAAAACTTTTCAACATTCAACACAAAATAACAGGAAATATGATGCCTATACAAAATAAGGAAATGAATGAATACTTGAGCTATAACGTTCTGACATTTGCGTAGATGTTTGTGGTCACCTTTCGGCCAATCAACCTAAGTCGTTACAAGTCCGTAAATCACCAACGTAGGTGATCCATATCTATAATTGAGGACCACTCCAGTTGGCCCGGAATGTTGAGAATAACAAGCCTGCATATAAGTCACACCCTACGGCTAATCCTCAATGTGAATTACCTTTTTGTCGTATCCAGGTGCTGTGGTTACTTTGATGACCGTACAACACAGAAAAGTCGTTCCAGAAATATATTGGCAAGAGAAGGTACAAGAAATAGAGTGCAGTCACCGTCTCATAGGCCAGTCCATGACGTGCAACCGCTTAATACCCATTGGTTGTCCTTAACCCTGACGACGATCGGGATCTAGTTTCCCGTTTGTCAAGTGTTCAGCTTTAGGGATCGTGTGGTTATGGCCCAATGCCACCACATGACTATACTATATGTATATTCATATTCTTTTTATTAATAGCTTCTACTTGACCTGTAGAATACTGTCATACGACTTACTATACTTAAGATATTGCTCGTTTTTTGGCTACAGCTTCTAATATTTACAGTCACTTCTAGACTGATCTTGTATAATTTCTATTTTCTATTTTATGGAGTGATGCGGTCTGATTCTTTTGTTTGTAAACTGCTAATGTTTGAAATACATGATTCACACGGTGGAAGCTGAGATTGTGTTCCGGACCCAAACGGATAGGGCTAGGCTGCTCGAACCGGTTAACACGTCATTGGTTTGGCACAGTGCTAAGGCCAAATAAGTCGGTGTTCTGATTGGCGATTTAGTCATGCCATATTTGACAAAGCAATAGTCATAACAGGCTTCTTACTAATGTTGTTCATTTGATTTTTATCAATGGGACTAATGCGAGAGCAGCTGTGAGATAGTGGAGTGGGGAAGAAGAATCATGTCCGACAGTGGCAGGTGAAAAAGAGTGGATTCGATGGGTAGGTTGGTTATTTAGGGAGTGATTGGAAAGGTCAGTCAGGAAGCCGCTGAGACAGAATAATTATTGATGAAGGGAGAGATTTTTCACTCCGCCTGGAGCTCCTCTGGGGATACCGTCGACCCAAAGCCCAAATAAAAGCGAAGGGTTGGGCATGCGGTGAGCGACCCTATCTCGTAGAAAACCAACTCGTTAGACAAACGCTAACCGGAAAAAATTAGTTCATTTAAATGAGTTGTGAGGCCTCATGGTCAAAGCCGAGGTCCTTCGGAAGTCACGAGGCCGATGCCATGAAAAAGAAAATGTCCCACATACACAAGGAGTTGCATTGATTCTGTCCAAGCAAGCAAAAAATGCACTTATAGGATAGGAATCCCATTGACCCAGAATCATGAACCTATTTACTTACTCAAGCCTATTACTCCCAATGGAGCATGGGCCGCCGACCAGCATTCTCCATCCCACTCTGTCACCGGCCTTCCTTTCTAGTTATATCCGATTCTTGTTGATTCCCCTCATGTCTGTCTCTTTTTTTGGCATGATGTGTTCTTTGGTCTTTCTCTTTACAATGAATATCATCCAATGCTATGCGCCTACCAACCACTACAATGAAGACGTTAAAGATCAATTCTACGATAGGCTGAAGTTAGTCATCGAGAAGTGCTCAACAAAAACCTGGCCATTCTGATGGGAGATTTAAAGACCAAGGTTGGGGTGAACAACACCGGATATGAAGATATCATGGAACGACATGGACTGGAAGAAAGGAGCGAAAATGGTAAGAGATTTGCAAAACTTTGTGCCTTCAATAAACTGGTCATAGGCAGCACTATATTCCCACATAAACGCATTCACAAAACCATATGGACTTCACTGGATCACACTACACAGAACCAACTCGACCATATCTGCATCAATAAAAAGTTCGGGAGAACGACGGAGGATGTGAGAACCAAGGAAGGAACTGATATAGCATCAAATCATCACTTGCTGGTCGCCAAGATGAAATTGAAACTCAAGAAGTATTGGAAAACGGGGCGGACAATATCACAAAAGTTCAGCATGGCCTTTCTTCAGGATACTGACAAACTCAAAAAATTCAAGATAGTCCTCAGCAACAAGTTCCAGGTCTTTCATGATCTACTCAGTGGAGAAGGAACTACTATGGAGAGCAACTGGAAGGGGATCAAACAACCGATCACTTCAACATGCCATGAGGTTCTGGGCCACAAGAAGCTCCATCACAAGGAATGGGTCACTGTTGATACACTGGATAAGATTCAAGAAAGGAGGAACAAGAAGGCAGCAATCAATACCAGTCGAACAAGAGCAGAGAAAGCCAAGGCACAACCTGAATACATAGAAGTAAGCAAACAAGTGAATAGGGGGACCAGAACTGACAGACGTAGATATGTGGAAGATTTAGCAACGACGGCGGAAAAGGCTGCAAGAGAAGGAAACATGAGACAACTGTATGACACGACAAAGAAACTCTATGGAAATCGCCGCAAACCCGAACGACCAGTGAAAAGCAAGGAAGGCGAGGTAATCACTAACATTGAAGAGCAACAAAACAGGTGGGTAGAACACTTCGGAGAAGTCTTAAATCGGTCAGCCCCAATGAACCCACCCAACATCGGAGTAGCACCCATGGACCTCCTAATCGATGTTGGCCCACAACAATTGAAGACATTAGCACGGCCATCTGGGAAATCAAGAGCGGCAAAGCAGCAGGATCAGACAACATTCCAGCAGAGGCACTGAAAGCACTTGAATGTCTTAATACGTTTAAGTAATGAGTGATCATTAATTTAGTTGTCAACTTGTATGGTACTACTAAATTGGAAGGGAATGGGACAGGATGCTTTATTCTGAAATTTATGTAGTTTTCGTGTCGCGCCCCAATGTGGAACAGATCACGCTATTGTAGTGGAGCTGTTTAACAGACCTTCAGGTGCACTGTCATGTTCATTACATATATTAGCACTCTGAATACACAGGAGTACTTTAAACACTTTTGGGTATATATGATCAATTAATTTCTCAGGTTTTTTGTAATTTTGAGATAAAATGTTCTGGAATGCTGATCGGGTGTTGTGGATAGTTCGTGTAAAGTTAATTTCCATCTGGCTATTCTCATAATTAGCACTGATGACTGCAATGGAGTTCATATAAAAACTGTTAAGGTCGTTAAAGTTACATGCAAACTTATCATAAGGTGTTTTTGCGAGGTAGCTTGGTGTATATTTAGTTGAGGGAAGAATCTGGTGAATAACTATTCTATTTACTTTAGTGTTAGGTAATTTTAGCTGTGTTTAAATCTGTTGATCAACACAATATTATTTTACTCTGCGTATTTCGAGTCTGATGGTCAAGGCCATTTGGGGCTAGTGGTATTTAGTTGGACTATTTGGAATTGACAGGAAATATATTTTTAGGCAAACAATCAAGGTCCACGCTGTTTAATCGTTGAGTGTCGGCAGACTTACATTCTGTGAGTTGTTAGATTGGATCTATATCCTAGCAAATATCAATCTTTGCCAATTTGCTTGAAAGTTTGCTGAGTATTTAGGACCAAAAGTTTTATGTGTTCAGTAATGGTTTGCAATTTGACTGTATAGTCACTTATAGAAACAACAATCGTTGCACATCCACGCGTGGACATACTCGCGAAATCGTGAAAACATTGACTCATTCATCAGGAGATAAGCTTACATTGGAAGTACAGTGTGATAAGTGAAATCCTTAAGAAGAATATTTTCCGGAAAATAAGACTCATATAACAGTTTTAACTTGACACAGTTTGCTCTGCATCCTTCAAAAAGATGTTCTTGAGTTGTAAATATTTTGTCTGGAAAGCAGAAATAAACTTCGTGACTTAAATGAACTGGCTAAAAGGACTATGATATATCAGAATGCAGCATGTCGAAGCAGAGTAGTTTCTCAGGACCGTCTCATTCTGATCTCAATATATAAAACCGAAATGTTTATGTGACTGTACTTAGTAGAATTGCTAATGAAAACATCGAAGTATCCTCTACAAGATCACTGAGTATAGGTCGCATGGACCTGTGAAACTCACAGAAGCGGGTGTCATTCTCCGGGATCTACAACACTTTCGCTCTTAACAGGAGTTTCTCTATAAGAAGATTACTTTTTATTTTGAAAAAAACTAGACATTTTGGCGAAACTCTAATTTAGGGACGAGCCAATCAGAAGCGTTCGAGCGATTTCAATTACTAGTCAATAAGAAGACAGCATAAAGTAAAAATATATTAAAAGAAAGTAATGAATTACAGTGGATATTCTTCTTTTACATGATTTAAAAACTCGTATGTTAGCATACTAACCCTAATCCTCACCTAACCCTAACCTTAACCCTAAACCCTAACCCTCAACTAACCCTAACCTTAACCCTAAACCCTAACCCTCACCTAACCCTAAACTAACCCTAACCTTAACCTAAACTAACCCTAAACCCTAACCCTAAAAACCTTAACTCTCAACTAACCGTAACCTTACCTGTAAACCTAACCCTAACCCAATGGACGAGTTTCTATTCCATATGCATTGTGAATTCAGAACCTCTGAACCTTAATCAAACTTTAACAAGTTTTTAAATCATGTAAAAGAAGAATATCCACTGTAATTCATTACTTTCATATAATATATTTTCACTTTATACTAACTTTCTTCTGATTGGCTGATAATTGTCAAAGTCATTCAAGATTCGTTCAAAGGTCGTCCTTAAATTAGTCTCGCCAGGTAATACGAACTGTTGTAGTGCATATTGGTTTGCATTGTGTACACTAAAGATAACTTTACGTTGGACTAGTAATATGATTATTAGTAAGCAAATCAAAGAAAGAATAAAATATTCAAAGCAGTGTGATGTACATGGTTAAAAAAAACTATGACGGGTTCGGGAGTATACTATTTATATTCTATACTACTAATCATAGTCATCTTTTAGAAAGATTCGTTTATTCGAAGTAGACATGTTATTTGTTCAAAAATTAATATTCTTTCGTTTTTCAGCAACGTTAAAGGATGTTCCCCAAAGGCATACAATTCGCTAATAAACCTTGGAAGTATGCAGTTGAACTACTTCATCAGGTAACTCGTGTTCTAACATATGTGTATTAAGAAATTACCAAGATACTTAATCACCACCCTACTATCATTTCTTTAAGTGGTAACTCCTTGATAAAAATAATATATACATAGGTGTTCATGATATACCGAGTCTGACAAAGTTATGGGAAGATTTTATCACGGATGTGAAACCTAGAATGGTACAACCGTCAACCGCGTACAAATTGATGCGGGAATTTTTAGATGTAGGTTATATTATCTATGAATTAAGTAACTTCTAGACAAATTTTATCGAGGCAAACATTGACTTTCATACCTGTTTATCCTCCCTCTTATCAGCAAATTTATTTATACGATATAATGAATTGGACACGCATACTCTGGGATTATTAATTTCTACTATCAAGGTTGGACTTTATGTCGTTTTGTAATTAATAGATTATTTAAAGGAAAAGTGTGATCATTTTGTAGCTCGACGGCTTTTCTCGCATTTCTATGAACCTATCCTATCTTTGAAGTTAAATATTTCAGAGGGTAAGCTACTTTGAGTATAATTAGAGATCTTTTTGTATATGCTTCTAAATATTTATTTCATTAAAAACTATTCGACTTGAAACGTCTTTTAATACTCAGGCAGTTTCTCCTCCAAATCTATGATTCTCCAAAATTTCTACTGGTACTCCACGTTCCCTTCCCTCAGAAATCCACTAAAGTTCCTCGTTTTTCTTAGATTATACGCAAAATCCATATTTCTCGAAGCTTTCTAGATTTACTGTTCGACGACTAGGTTCGTTACCCAGCTAGTGAAATTGAAGTAGGATTTGTGTATTTTGTTCAATGTTTAGGTGTTGAGTACTTCGATAGTAATGTTTCATGCTACGCTTCTCTCCCAACATTAAGATTAAAAACATATTTTGTAGGAACCTAATCCCTCATGTTCCTTCACATTAATTATTACTGTGTTACTTTTTGGCTGTGAATCTTAGCAATTTTATTAATTGGTGCCTGGGATTTAGAATTAAGCATGAGGCTAAAATTACATCGTGGCAAGAAGAAATCTTCACTGAGCTACCCTATTTCTAATGGTTTTGCGAATTACATGTAGTTTCGTTGAATTATAGTTTGTAATTAGTATAGTGATTTTTGTCGTATAATTTATTATAGACGGCACATATTCGATTTCTCAAATGGAACTTATTAATCGACTTGAACAGTTAACTAACTATTGGGTAACATATTTATCTAGCGAATTTCCCTGTAATATATCCAAATTCGATGCAGCTCACTTTTTATTCGATTGGATTAGATTGGCATATTGTTTAACTGTCAGTGGCATAGTTCATAAGAGGATGAATTACTTCAATGTTGGCGTGCAGTTTTTAGTTGTAATAAAATCAAAGAATGTGCAACAGTATGACAATTTTATAAAATATCTTGTAAGTTATCGATATTGTCTACGATTTATTTTCTATAAATGTTGTCTTGGTTATATCCTTGTTTGTGTCGAAACCTTGTAATAATATTAATGCTGCTTATTTAATCATAGTCATGTACTGCTACTCCACCATAACAATATGGATCTAAATGATATAAGAATAAACTGGTTGTTCTCCTCAAACCTTCTGGTAAATAGGAAAGTGGGAAGAGTCATTCCCTCCTCTCGAACTGTTCTCACACATTGCAGAGTCTATAACCTCTTCTCAAGAGGTACTACTTTCTGGTATCATATGGTGGTGTTTCCTGACGATCCAGAGCGTGAAATTGAACACAGCTCAGGTCAGTTCTATCAATGAAAAGGGTTCATCCGAGAGCTGTGAAACTATGAAATCAAATCATTACTCCTGGTGAAACAAGTTTTTAGTGAACTCACTGTAGTTACCAGTTACCATGCCGACTCATCTTGACGTCTCTTCACCTGTAGTTTGTAGCTTACTTTTTTCGTTATTATTTAAAAGCTACTTGTCTACGGTGCTTCTGATTACCCACCATTTGTCTAAAAATTTTGAAAGTCGTATTTCTGTTAGGCGTGGTCACAAATTACCGGTTTTGGTGTCGTAATTTGTTTCTAAGCTTTGTTTTTTCACATATCCCTTCCTTGGTTATTATACATTCCAGATTGACGAATTATGGAGTTCATTGGCAAATTTATATCTCCGAGCAACAGATCTTTCCTCAAAATCACCTTTATCTGGTAGTGAGGATTTGTCCAATTCTGTAAACATTAGCTCTTATATTCAGGGTTCTGCAGATCAAGATCTTGTTGACTCTTATTATCAGGAATTCGGCATGCTTTTAAAACTCTCTCGTTTAACTTCTAATTTAAATTGTTCAGCCAAACTTGTGATCGATGATCAAACTCTCGATAAGCTGACTTGTCTCATTTTTGACCGTCTAGCAACTCTTTGTTTTTATCAAAGTGATATCACTGTGTACAACCATCCATTCGTCTACCATGCTTTATTCAGCGTAAGTACTTACAAGTTTTCATTTTACCCGCCATTTTTATTAGTGCGAATTATGAATTAATGTTATATTTAGGGTCGAGTTCTTATCATATTATTAGCTTTAATTTCAAGCTCGTAATATTTTGAACCTCAAATATGTTGGGAGACGTTAGACTCGCTGGTGACTACTTCAAGTTCTGTTAATGCATACACCCCAGGGTCTGTGAATATGCTTGCAGATTTTAGAGAGTCTTAAATGTCAAAATCAATTAGGCAAATGTTTTTCTGGTTCATCCATATTTGGAGAGGACATGGGTTTAATGCACGATTAATCGCTTTTTGAGTAAGAATTCCTAATTTTCTTTTGCAGTCGGTCATTTTTTTTCACTAGTTTTAATCATTGTCTTTAATGTATGCCTAGTATGACAAAATAAATGTCTCTCGATTTATGTAAACTGCACATACCGCCAACTTCTTCGGACATCATATTAATCGCCATTTGTTTACTCTTCTCTATAGAGTAGGGATTTACTAGGGGATCAAAAATGTGCTCTACAACTGAAGTGATAATGTTGTGAGAAAATGTAAGAAGAAAAATCTGTATACTTAATAACCACAAACAACTGAAACCCTTTTTTAAGAGGTGTAGTTCAGTTAAAATTAGTGTGTCAACAAAGTTCATCTAACGTTTTTGAAATATAACAATCGGAAACTGCAACGGCATGTCCACTGGCTTTCATCCTGAGTCACACCCTATGGCTTCACTTGTCATTCGGTTGAAGAACCTCTAAAACCACAACTGGAGAGTTGAGATGGATCAACGGATGCCAGTCATATACAGCTACCTTTCATGTCATGGTGTCACGATATAAACTAGACAACTGTTAACCTTTTCCATCAAAATAGGGGGGGGAAGACCATTTTACCCATTTTGTTATTCATGTTATGAAACATTGAAAGCGATTGAAACCTTTCCAAAAAACCATTGTTTTCATTTTCTTTACAGGAAGAACAATCAATATCTGTAAATAATTGGTCCGAGTTTTTGTTGAAGCCTTTGGCAAATTTTACATAAAGATCACTACTTTTCTTTCTTGTTTTATTAATTGTATATATATTTGAAATGATACTAATTTGTTACACGAGTTCATTTATTTCACATGCGGTGGCGCTTCCAGTGTCTGTTAGCCATTTGCCAAGGTTAGAAGTGAAGTGCGCATAAGGAAGTTTTGCCTTCTACTAGGATGTTAGTGAATAGTGAGTTTGATCTAGTCATGTGTTTTGGTATAAAAATTAGCTTTCAACATTGTGTGGAGGGGTATCAGTTGCTTCGTTTTTTGTCGAAGTTAAACTTTTCTGCATACAGTGTGAAATTAAGTCATCTTCCAAGCAGTTAATACTAGGTTTTGATATTCTCATGCTGCTTACCAACTCGTGTCGAACGGTGACTTATTGGTTAATTAATTTGAATTTTCTATTGGTCACAGGTTTAACTCTATCTAGTTCGGCTGATGACACTAGTCTTAACGCGACAGTTTGGCTCAGTATTGAGTATCAAAACCTGTACTTGGTAAATGAGTATATGTATAATGGGTAATTTGAAAAGTATATTTATTCTCATTTGTATGATTGATAAAGTGGAGCAATAGTTCAGGGCTTAAGGCGTCCGACTTTTAGCTACTAAGTAGCAGTTCTGAACTTCACTCTTCGCACTTCATTTTGGGCAACCGTATAGTATCACTAGCCCTAACGCTTAAAGTATGGCTCTAATTCAATTACATGAATCTAAATGAAACAGTTGCTGCTTTCATCAAGTGTTAAAGTATGTTACGGGAATTACCAGTTTGATAGTTCCGTATAGTCAGATGTAGTATTCTGCTTACTATCATGCATAACCTGTGCTGGTTAGGGTTTAAATTGCACACAGTCTCGAAGGTTTAAAAAAAGATCAAGTTCAATGCAGTTGTTTTAACATTATTAAAGTGACTGTATAAAAAGTAAGACATTTATGTTACTAACATCGTCTTCAAGAATAACAGTAATTAATGTACACTTTTATAAATTATAACAAATGATGAAAGTCTGTAGTTTCTTCATTATATTTATCGTAAAATTTTGGCTTATCCGATAGACTTACATCACTTGAATAGGGTAATAAATTAAATTTAACCCAATTTTTCTGTTGATAGATTCTTCGAAATAATCCACACTTTACTTTTTCCATTTGACTGATGATATTCATGTGTAAAATTTGTTCATTCTTTATCTGTTTCTGTGTCAAATTAGTAAAATTTATCGGGAATGAAAAATTCTTCATCTCTATATTTCAATGAATTGAAGACTTTCGAGAAAAAGTGTTTAAAACTTAGTAGTCTACTGATTATATTGAGTTATTCGAGATGTAAACGTTTCGCCTCTGACCAGTTGCCTTCGGTGATGTTCTAGTTTACCAGCGTTGATATCATATAGCCAACAAACAAAATAACGTGACAGTCTATTTTGGATTGGATGCTTGTATATTTTTAGAATGGGAAAAAGTTTATATGAAATAACTAACCTATAACGGCATACATTACAAGAAATTTGTACCAAGTATTTGCTCGTTATCTATTAACTAATTTTAAATCTCTAAGACTTGTTAGTCAGGTTGACCTATGGGTAGTTGTTGTTCCAACGTCGTATACCTTAAAGTTTGAGTAAATCTACCAGAGCAATGACTGATCTCATAGTTTAATGGTACATGCATCATTCAGTGTATAGAAACTTTGTAGGTTATTATCTCACCATTTTTGACCTTTGAGGGTAATAGTTGGAACTGTCTGACGTGTTCATTGTAGGTGGTAAGTTTGAAACTAAGTGAAGTTATTGTCTTGTTTACTGTAGTAACCGGATTTTATTAATGAAACTGACAATGTGATGAATAACGTAATGGTATTGACATGGTGTCGTGGTGCGTTTGTTATTTCCAGGTAGTTATAAATCTCAAACCTGGGTTTTATGCTTATCGACATTCAGCAACACAAAGTAATCGAAACCGTGAGGAATCTCAGAGGTTTACAAGTTTCGAAGTTTTGTCTTTCAGCTCATTTAAATTACATCTGGTCACTAGTTGGACCGAATCTCATTACTTATCTAGTGTGACTGTAAACGTTAAACATAATTGCCAATTAAGTGTGCTGATGAGATGATCTTTGCCAAAAATAACCATTCTATTATTATTAATACTTTTTAGAAAAAAAACTTACATCTGAATGTTCTACTAATCTCGTTTTTGATTCATCTAATGAGTTATTACTTGGTTTGTGAGTGTTAAACATTCTTGAGTCCACACATTGTTGATAGCGTAACTGCAGGAATGAAATTTTAGACATAGCTTTAGCTAAATCAGTTTCAGTAAAAATCAAGTTATCTCTCATTTACAACAATAATTGATAAATTAACTCTTCTTAATTTCTGATCGTTAAATTCATATAGTCCTGTTATTGCATAGGACCAGAAGTGACATAGTTTAATCTGGTGTATTAGGAGATCGTCTCTTGAGATTAGAGAGCTTAGTGCCAGAAATGATCATAATTCACTTCACAGTAATTTGACCAAGATAGAATTAAAAGAGTGACTGGGATTCAGTACTAATTTAAATTCTCCGACTAGACTGATGTTTAATAATAATAAGTAATTATTAGGTCCGTGCAATTTCTTAATGACAACCATTTTCATACAATTGTAATTCATAAGATCATCAATCTCAGGAGATTTTTTAGCAATTTTATTCTGTTAAGATTACGAACTTAACTAGAACAACCATTATATCCTGGTTGGTTAAATAATAACTGGTTATCGGATTTTAGTTTATTTCAAGTCTTACCTGCTATAGCTTTTGAAATATGGTCTTTGGAAATTCGAGATATTTTAATTATTCTCTACTACGGTTTCAATGTATTTACACTTATCAAACAAATTAAATGAGGAACGGGTCTGACTATTTCCAGTGTTTCTTTTGAAATAAGTCAATTGTTATTAATGTGTTTATAGCAAATACTTATTAAACTATTTGATTGGGCAATCTGCTTCATAAATGTAGTGTCCGTAATCCACAGTTCGAGATGATCATTATACGACTTGGTAAAAACCTATTATGAAACTCCAGGGTGATATTATTTGAAGTTTAAAATATATAGAGTACGGTGCATTGCCTACTTGATATCATTCACTTGTGCCACGAATGTAAGGTAGACATAGACTTACTTAGTATTAAACTTGGTACAAATATCTACTGATTTGATTTACCAATTCATTTAAACGGAATGAGAGATTACAAAGTAATGATAATGATACTAGTATTAGTGAGAAATATTAAAAGACCAAAATCATTGAAAAAGGATGAAAACATGAACAGCATGGAAAATGCACAAGAAATTAACTGTTATTGGTTTTAAAAGAATGTCTATGAATTTTGTATGATATATACTTCTGGACAGTTAATAAAAGCAACTAGGAATCACCGTTGGTAGTCAAAAGTACTTGCAAGAAGTAAACTTAGAGGGTAATATGTCATAATATATTTCTGATTTTTAAAGCTTAGTCAAATATGATCGCTGGTTTTTCGTTAATGAACAAGTCTTGTAAATGTTCGGTAGGATTCTGTGAATTCAACAATTTCTCAAAGTTTGACATCGGCCATTATTAACAAGTAGTGGATCTTGGTTTGATGACGAGTATAATTGTTAGATTTATTTTCATTTTCTCAGCTTCCCTATAATATGTACTTCTTTAAGATCAAATAGTAGTACGTTTAATCCTAGGTGATTGGAAATAGTCGACAGGAAACGCGGCCTAGGTTTCGAGTTTGCTGGGAATAATCAGTGTAGCATACGTGAAGCTCCGAGGGTATTGATGCTCCCTGTGCTATTCAAACCCGGGTCACCTAGCTTCACAATCTGACATGTTACTGCTGAGCTATTCGGATCTCAAGTTACCTGTAGGATTGAGATATCTACAATTGATCGGTCACTTAGTAGTGAACATTCATGTTTGTTTAGTCCTTTAATGGTGATCGAACTTTAGATACGCTTTGTTGATGAGTGTCAAATAGCACCAAACTTATGTCCAGGGTTTCTTGCTCACTACCTTCAACCACCTAACACTTCAACATAATATCAAGTCACTCATACCAGTGGCCTTATTTCAGCTTGCTCAATAAAATCCAATCAACACTAAAGGACTAGAGTAACATGGCATTAGTCACTATTCAGTACTCAATCAGTCGTACACTTAATTTTAATAGTATTAAGATACAACAAATATAAATTTAACAAAAACCCAGAAGTAAATGTATATGAAGTTCGCAGACAATAACAATAAGATGAATATATAACAAATTTAATCTTTTTTGGATATATTAAACTCTTTATAAATGTTGATTTATTTTTAAGTGGTTCCGTACACTAGTTTGTTAACTCGTTATCAAACTTTGGGACTTATTTCTTAAGTTAATGAAGGCTTATTCAAATAATTTCTACGAAATATTCTGTCTTCCTGCCGAAGCTTCTTTATTTTCTAACCTTTGGACTTACCTAGGTCGTTTTTATTCATATTAATATATTGAATTAAAGAGATATTATTTGTTTTGATGGAGTTTATTAAGAGTTTCTAGCTAATCTAACGAAATGGATTCTCTTATCTAACAAAATGTACACATTTCAAAATCAGATCTCATATTCATATGTTTTATGCACTAAGACAGAATTTCTCTAATTTTATCGATTACCTAGTTATTAAGTAAAGGGAGGTTGATTATGAATACAGTGGTCTTGAGTGCTGTTAAAGATATGAAAGCGGTTATCACTTTCCGGTTGCCCACACCGTGGAAAGGTTCTTCTGGAGTTACCTGAAAAGGAAGTTGGATTAGAGGTGGTCTTAGTGGCCTGAGAGCATGACTGCAGTGCTCAAGGGACAACTGCTTGAGGTCGGTCACATACGACCTTTTTATGAGTAATTATTTTGTTAGCTCTGTACTTGTTGAGACCTTACCGCCGGAGACGGATATCCGTGGGATAAGGCGAGGTGTGTATTGTT